TGAGGAAAATCTGGAAAATTAAACAGGAGCTCAAAATGATGTGACCGTGAAAAAGAGCAAACAGTAGAAAAGGAAGCTTGAAATTAGGGGCCATGGACCAGACCATGGGAAAGATGACTTCCAGGTACCAGGAAGGCCTGAGAGACCCTGACTCACCTTTGCCCGCATCTACGACAGCCCAGGACGACAGGATCCTGAGGGCCAGGAGCACCGTGAAGACCAGGAGGTTGTTAAGCTTCATAGTGAGGGCAGGAGGCTGCGGTGGCCAGTGTCAGCCGCATCCCTTATACCTCTCGCTGTGGGTGTGGCTCCACCAGAATTGGCCCGGCCATCCCAGCTGCTATTTCATAAGCAGGGAATTCAGGCCAAGACAGTGACCTCACCACCGAGAGTGTCAGTGGTTCTTTCTACCCCAGGCAAGAGTATGAGGCCCAGAGAGGGACATGTAGAACTTGGAGGGGGGCTGTCACAGGCTGGTCAGGAGTCCCTTCTGGAACAGTTTAGGGGCCCTTTGGGATGAGTGGAGGAGGGGGAAGAGGGGAGAGCTTCTTAGAAACCTGGAACAATCATCAAGGTGTGGAAAGGCCAGCAGCCGCAGTATCAGAGAAAGTGTAGCAAAAAGCGTTGCTCCTCCACTCAGACGCACATATACACCTTTCATGGGACCCAAACTCAGAAACTATGACTCATAATGCCCCACGGCCCAAGGTCAGGTTTTGGAAACTGACCAACAGGGAATCTGAGTGTCAGTAGACCCTGAGAGAGAAGGACGAGACAGAAATGCAGGAATCGATCAAAACTATATGGGAAACAGCAGCCCCATCCTTTTTTACAAACCCTCAAGGATCTTCCCAGAAGGCGGAGCACAGAGCGACCCGACAGTCATAGATTCTCATGGACAATTGTTTCAGGTAGATATCACTTTATTTCTTTGTGTTGCTTTCATAGTAATAAGCATTGAACTCTGATAAAGGAAGTCTGGGGGCTGAGGAGCACATGGAAGAATTGGAGACCAGTTATCCGAGTCGGAGCCTGTTCTACCAGTGTCTTCTCAGGCCTGGGTAAGAAGCGATTTCTACCTGGGAAGAGAAGGCAGGATCAGAGACATGGGGCGGTGCAAACTGTGCAGGGGGCGTTGGCTGGGTCTGAATCCTGCCAAGTACCTTCCTCCCAGGAGCGCAAAGAGCCAGGGCCTG